TTTTGCAAAACCACTACAAATATGCATAATTTAGTAGCGGTTATTTGAAATTGCTGCAAAATAACAGCTGCAAAACATTTTTTATGGTGAATATGAATAAGGAGCTGTTAAAAAATGTTAATTTTATGTAAGGAAATAATATTATTTATTTGAATTATATATTAAACGTGCGGAGCAAAAGAGAGACATGACACAATTTTTATAATTATATAATGGCTGAACTAAAATTATTTCAACCGATAATATACATATCTTGAATATATTGAAACACCGGTATGATATAAGATTTTCATTTTAATTATAATCTGATTGTAGAAATGAATATTGCATATTTATCTAATTAGATGAAGTTCTCATTAACAGATTCGATTTTTTTATTGCATGTGGTTAGCCAATTAGTATAGCTTTTAATTTTATCTTTAATTTTTTTTCCTACTCTTAGGAGTCCTCAGATTTGACGAAATCCCATTCAAGACACTACTACTCCTATTATAAGTGTTATACAATAAAGTGAATAACTTGAAACTGCTTAACGCAAACACTTATAAATATATTTATATAAATAAAGACAAAACTTCTATTATATACCTAGCTTGTATAATCCACACGCGTAATTGTCTTGAAAGAAATCTTCTATATTAATTAAATGGGAGAAACAGAGACAGCTATAGCATGTTCTTAAAATTATACTTCAAATATATTCATCAGTCATCAATAATTCACTGGTCCCCAACAGGGTCGTACAATTATACTTAATTCGTACAAAAACTCACAAAAAATATAGAATAAAAAAATTAAATGACAATTGGAGTCTATTATATGTGTCATTATAAAGTAATTAATCAGTTAATTAATCAGGACGGCTTATACTCACATTCGGAAGTATTTGCGTGGGATTTGTCTCTTTGTATTTGCCTCAACGGATCTAAATTTCATCTCACTTTGAAACAGTTATTATATATATTCCTCGCGGCAAGCAGATCATTTATAAATACAATCAACAACACATTCATAAGGGAAGTAATTGAGAGCCAATTGTGTTGTTGTGTTGAGGAAGTTAATGGAAGACGGCAAAGGAAGAGTATGTGTTACAGGTGGCAATGGCTTCATTGGTTCTTGGATCATCAAGAGGCTTCTTGAGGATGGGTACTCTGTTAATGCCACCGTTAGATCTCACCCCGGTATATCCTATTTCTCTTTTTTGATTTCAAAATATAGTGTTGAATTGATTTCATAATAATTAATACGGATTCGTTACATATGCTGCTATGAGTTTCATATCGGGAAGTCTGGTCATAGAAATCTATATAAGAAGAGTCGGAGAAGTTTGTAGAGGGTGGAACTGGGTAACATCTCTTCTTTTTTCCCCCCTTCTAGGTGTGAGTATTTTCTTAGTAGAAGCAATCATGTTCAAGATATTATTGTATACTAAATATGAATACATTTCACAGCGGAAATTTGAAGCTTGGTTACAAGCTCAAAGGAGAACTTAATTACGGAAAAGCACACTAATATTTTATCGTCAAAGATGTATAATACACAGTTACCAACAGGATTAACTCTAGTGACAATGACTAGTTTCTCACAATATGATGATAATATATGCATGGGATATATATTTGAAAAATACACGCAAGTCTTTAATTTGAAGCCTTTTGAGTTGGTCACATATAATAATGCATAGTTACACACACACACATATATATACATGTATGTATATGATTTCCTTTTCTATTGTAGATTTGAGCTTCCTCACGAATCTACCGGAGGCATCTAAAAAGCTTCAAATATTCAAGAATGCGGACCTAAACAAACCAGAAAGTTTCAAAGAAGCCATTGAAGGGTGCATGGGAGTGGTCCATGTGGCTACCCCACTGGATCTTGATGACCCAGAGGAGGCATTGACCAAAAGATCCATTGATGGAGCACTAGGGATTTTAAAGGCATGCGTGGCTTCAAAAACTGTGAAGAGAGTTGTTTACACATCCAGTGGCGTTACTGTTTCATTCGATGGCAAAGAAGATAAGAATAACAATGAAATGAAGGATGAGAGGTGTTGGAGTGACATAGATTATCTCAGAAGCTTGAAGACAACGTTGGGATGGTGGTCTTATGCTGTTTGTAAGACATTGACAGAGAAAGCAATGCTTGAATTTGGAGAAGAGCATGGATTAGATGTTGTGACTTTGCTTCCTACGCATGTTCTTGGACCTTTCATTTGTCCTAAGCTTCATGGCTCTCATCGTACCACGCTCGATTTGGCATTTGGTATGTTTTCCCACTCCCTCCAACCCTATATACAAGTAAAATACATTATTTCACATAGAGGTGGTTCTCTCTCTCTCTCTCTCTCTCTCTATATATATATATATATATAAAACAATTTGTGTTTGTTCAAAAATTTAATGTGCTCTTAGGCCCAAAAAAAAATTTAATATGCTCTTTTAATTTTAAACTCCAATTAATTACATGCCTTTCTCTTCTTGTTTTTTTTTAACTCATTTTTCTTCATACATTTTTTTAGTCATTCTCTCTCGCATTCGTGGTATATTCATATATAAAGATATATTTTTAAAAAACTAAATCTCCTTTTCATTTTGCCAACCAAAATTACATTTCTAACACGCACTATTTTTAACTAATATTTTTTATTTGCATAATTTGGTTAATTGTTACTTTATAGACTAGAGAGAGTATATTCATTGCTCCTCGTCATTATATGAATTTTTTTTAAATACAATCTTGTAAGGTTATGCGTATAGTTTCGATTAGATTTTGGGCACCAAAAAACGCTGGAATATATTTAGCTATATATATATATATATATATCAGCATTAGATCTTTTCTAGAATATAATACTACATTCATGCAATAAATGATAGAGATGCAAGGAAAGCAATGAAACAGAAATGGCATCCATTCTGAATTTTATTTTAAGCTCGTCCGTTTGGCAATTGGACAGAAAATGAATTTTGAGAAAAAAGAAAACGGACGTGAACAGAGGGAAAAGAGATGGCGAGATTAATCAGTGTCAGATAAAAATAAAGATATAAAAATAAGGAATTGATGATGATAAAAATTACTGATGATTATAATGATTAAACTGAATTAATTAAGGTGGAGGAGACCCGGGGGCATATCTACAAACACCTGGAGTACATGTGGATGACGTGGCAAAGGCACACATATTTCTGCTGGAACATCCCAATCCAAAAGGAAGGTATATTTGTTCAGCATGTGTCATAACTAATGAAGACGTATATGAAATTCTGTCCGTAAAATATCCAGAATTTCAAATACCACCCAGACAGTAAGTCCTCTTCATCTTTCACATGGTTCATTAAATTAAATGATCTCTCTTTAATTCGACACTCTTTCAGTCCTAAATATAAGACCCACTTATAATATAAATTATGTTATAAAATAAGTCTTACACTTAGGATCAGAAAGTATATTGTAAAAATCATATATTTTGACTGTAATTTTTTTTTTCCTTTTTAATGTAGTTATTTGAAGGAAATGAAAGGTCCAAAATTTTCAGCTCCATCATCACAGAAACTCATAGACGCTGGATTTGAGTTCAAGTATGGGGTGGAGGAAATAATTGTGGATTCAATTGAAAGCTGCAAAGAAAAGGGTTATTTGTAATATATTTCATCACATATATGTTTCTTATTATCCAAATAAACAAGTACTTGTGCAGTAGTTGTGCTATTATTGGAGTATATATATGTCGTGCAAATAAGGAAATTGTCCAAACACTCTGTATCACTTCACTAACCTCTTTTTTCTTTTTTTTTTGGTAAACGAAATTGTTGAAGTTTACAATCGTCCTTGATTATTAAATAATTTTAAATTATAATTATTAATTTAATATTAATTAAATTAATTTTGATTGAGTAATTAAAAGGACATATTTTAATTGATTTTGCCCAAATCCAGAGTATACTCATCAGTTTTATTTATAGGAGTGTACTACAAAGAAGGAATTAAATTAAAGTTAAATCAAATAATTTTCTATCTGCTATTTGCCGCCTGCTCTTCAAAGTGGCTTAGCTATTATGAGTTTTGACTGAATCATCCAAGAGAATCATACCACCTCATGAGCTAAAAAGTCTGTACCAATTTTCCAAGGGCTTGTGACTTTTTTTTTTATTCCTTAAAAAATTCTCTCTTCTTATCTGAACGTATGAGAGGATCAAATTAAAGAACAAAAACGACAGATGTTCACACTGTTAAATTGTAAAAAAAGTAGCAAAGTGAGAGGTACAATTATCAATCACTGTGACACAGGATTCACCAAATTAGGTTAAATAAGTGAAGATCCAAGGGCAAGTGCAAGGTGATTAAATTAAAAATCTCCAAAAAGTATAAAAAAAAAAAAAGAAGAAGAAGAAATTAGAGCTTTCAAGCCGCCGGGAGAAAAATTAACAAGTGAGTTAGTGAAAAGAAAGTCATGACTTTAAAAAAGAAAGATGACACCGTACGTACAGCCAATTACAAAAAGCCATGTGCCCCATGAAAGACAGGACATTATATTCTGCAGACTTTTAGTCACCATCTCTTAATAAATATCTGTCTGTCTTCTTCTTCTCCGAATGGAAGAGGGAAAAGGAAGAGTATGTGTTACTGGTGGTACTGGTTTTATTGGCTCCTGGATCATCAAGAGACTTCTTGAGGATGGTTATCATGTTAATGCCACCGTTAGATCTCTCCCTGGTACTCTATTATATTTTGCTCATATTTCAAGCAAATCATATATATATATATATATATAAAGATTCCACTTTATGTTCTGTAATAATCATTACAGTTAGAATTTCCCTGAGAGGATAGCATGCGTCGTGAAAGCTGGATTATTTAATATCCAAAACTTGTTTTGTTCTTCCTCAAGGGTCTAGTTACGATACGGAACCTTTAGCTTAATTGAACGTTAATTATTATTTGACTGATTTAAGAAGTATTATCTTCCTCAGGGGTCTCCGTGTGTGATTTGACAGTGTCGCTATGATTCCTTTTAAACCCTCTGGTATCAATATTTGTTTGGAATTTATATATTCTTGTATGACATAAGCCGAAGATTTGCACATTTCAAGGTTGTCTGTGAAATATGATTGTCCATCTATGAAACTTTTACGCTCCTTTTTCTATTGCAGAGCACAAGAAAGATGTAGCTTTCTAACAAATCTACCCGGAGCATCTCAAAAGCTGCAAATTCTAAATGCAGACCTTAACAATCCAGAAAGTTTTAAGGATGCAATTGAGGGGTGCATGGGAGTGTTCCACGTGGCCAGCCCAATGGATTTTGAGAAGAATGAACCTGAGGAGATAGTGACTAAAAGATCCATTGATGGAGCATTGGGAATTTTGAAGGCATGCCTCACTTCAAAAACTGTGAAGAGAGTTATATATACATCTAGTGCTCTGCTTGTTCTTTCAATGGCAAAGAAGATGAAGTGAAGGATGAGAGTATATGGAGTGATGTAGATTATCTTAGAACTACCAAGAAATTTGGATTATGGTCCTATGCAATTTCTAAGACACTTACAGAGAAAGCAGTGCTTGAATTTGGAGAACAGAATGGATTAGATGTTGTGACTTTGATTCCAACTTTTGTTGTTGGACCCTTCATTTGTCCAAACCTTCCTGCATCTATTATTTCTTCACTCTACTTCGCATTTGGTATGGCTTATACCTATAGCTTGCTCATGTCATTTTAATCACAAAGGTCTAGGATTTATACTCACAGCACTATCTAGATGGAGTAGCTCCTTATAAATAGTGCGGCCTTCACCTTTAACTGGTGATGACCTAGTGAATCGGCCACTTTGCTGGTTTGGTAATTATATTTATACTATTAAATCTGAATTGGATTGACTGGTCGAACTGGTGATTATCCAGTGAACTAGTCACTTGGCTGGTCCAACTAAATCAAGAATTATCGACTCAGGGTCAATCTGATTGGCCCGGGATTGACCCAATCAAACCAGCATGTATTTTGTTATGGATATAATGGTTACATGATTGCTATGCATCTAGTTGTGTATTGACAATTTTTGTGTGTGTATGAAAATGATGCAGGTGACAAAGAGCCAATTGGTTATCTGCAAACACCTATGGTACATGTGGATGATGTGGCAAGAGCACAGATATTTCTGCTTGAACATCCCAATGCAAAAGGGAGATATAACTGTTCGGCCTGTTTGGCAACTCTTCACAAGGTGTTTGAAGTTATTTCTGTTAAATATCCTGAATTTCAAGCACCAAGCATAGAGTGAGTTCACTTTGTCCTTCTCCATGTTCTTTAAATACATGAAAATTAGATTGAAGTGAATGACTAGAATTTGCTGTTTTATCTTCTAATAACCATTATTTTGATTGCTTCTTTCCGAATTTATATTGTAGTTCCTTAAGAGAAAGGAATGACCTGAAATTTCCAGATCTGTCATCAAAGAAGCTCAAGGATGCTGGATTTGAGTTCAAGTACGGACTTGAGGAAATGTTGGTGGATGCAATAGCATGTTGCAAAGAAAAGGGTTATTTGTAGCTATAGCTATAGATGATTTAATTATGTTAGCTATCAAATATAATATCCAATTATAACATGGCATATGTGAGGTGTTTTCTATACAATTACTTGAGATCTGATTCAGTTATCGTGGGGTTAAATTAGAGGTAGCCATCCTAATGCATTGTCCCCCCCCCCCCCCCCCCCAAAAAAAAATCATAAGATTTGAACTCTACTCTTTAAGAGAAACTGAGTCCATTCAACTCGACTCAATTAGTATGGTTGGTATATGTAATGTGTTGTAATATAATAGTACCTCCTGATAGAAAGTGAGATACTTCATCTCCTGATAGAATTAATTTCCTATTTCCCTTCAGTATCCCTGTTTTTTTTTTTTCCGGTAAAAAGGACGGGCTCAGCCCAATGGCATTAAATTAAAGACAGGTGGGGATCAATTCCCATACAATCAGAAAGCAACACATTCACCCATGCATGTTGGTATAGATGGATGAGGATCTGTGTCCCTTAACCATTGCTCCCAGTTCAATGCTGCTGGCGGATGGGAATGCAGCTGGTGTGCTTGGGAGGGCCCCCCCCCTAATTAGGCCTCTTGAGGAGATACTCTGGTATTTCATATTAAAAAAAAAAAAGCAACACATTGAGTAAATGACACGGACAAGAATCTAAAAGAGCGAAAGACGAAAGTCTGTTCTTAGCAAAGGCGTCAGCAAGAGTATTTTCTTGTCTTGAAGCTCTCAGTTGAACTCCATAAGGTATCTAATCTGCGAGAAAATTAGACTACCATTAAGTGAGGCTTCCTTTTTGAGCAGCATATCAACAAGAGCCTTAGAGTCTGACTCAAGAATGACTTTTTTGAAAACAAAATCCCAAGCCATTTTGAGTCCCTTGTAAATAGCCCATTCCTCTGCTTCAAGCACATCATAGAAACTAAGAGACTCAGTAAAACCAGCAATCCAGACTCCCTTACAATCTTTAATAACTCCACCACAACCGGCTTTTGTCTAGACTTAGAAACTGCTCCACCTACATTGATTTTAACTCAACTCTGAACAGGTGGTTTCCAAAGAAATGTTTCTGAGAGACTGAGACGCGGGGAATGTCATTTTGTACAGCATAATCATTAAACAAGGAGAAAGATTTCCAGTTCCTAAGAATAAAGGCTGCAGGATTACGAGGCTTGATAAAGTCTTCATTGAAGCAATAATTGTTTCTCTATAACCAAAGGTGCCAAACCAATAGAGTCCAAATAATATTCCAAGACACATTCAGATTCAAACCAAGTTCTCTATTTAAATTTAAGGCCATCCAGTCCTTTAGATGAGCAGAAGGAAAAAAAATTGGTTCACATACCTTGGATCTAAGAGGTTTACCCATAGGCATCTGGCATAGAAGCAGTCACGCAATATATGTAGTTCATCTTCCAAGTCTTCATTACGGTGGGAACAAACAAGTGAAGTTGAAGACCACTTGCTCCTCTGTAAATTTGTGGGCAGCTTATTATTATAAGCAATCCATTTAAAAACTCTTTTTTTTCAGCACCATTCTACTTCCAGATTTTCTTATAAACGCTACTATAAGAGTTAGCAGGAGGTTTCTCCATTAAACAATAAGCACTCTTAATAGTGAAGTTCCCATGAGGGGTTAGATTACGAGTCATAATTGCCTTCACTATTCCTCTATAATTCAGATTCAGCTCATTGTTAATGGGCCGGCCTATATAGGCCCTTGGATTATTAGGACCAGCCTCTATAGCCTTGTTTGCCAAGCTCAATTTTCACAACTTCTTGGGTCTAAATGGACTCGGGCTAGTTTTCCTTTCAATGCTTTTATTGTTAAACATCTAGTTATGAGTTTGATCTATAGCCGTGTATGCGGAGAAAGTCTTATGGTCAGCACTAAAATCCTTCGAAAAGTTTACGGTACGGGGGAATTAGTCATAGCTACTGGCAATAAATACCTTAAGCTCAACGGGAAAAAAAGAAGAAGAAAACAATGCTTATTTTAAAGTTTACGAATGTGATTTTTGAGTATATTTATAGGTAAGGCAGGTCACCCAGTGGGTGCACATTATTTTGAGTGTAGATGCTATTTTTAAAAACTATTACCTCCCATTATTGAT